ACTGTTCATTTAGTGTATTGACTCTCAGTTTACGAAATGGTATGCTACCTATTCATGCAATACCCACTTCAACAAGCCGACCGTCATATACAACGTGTCACATCTACAAATCTAAATGTGTCGGATGTTTTGTTCAATGTGCAGGAATGATGTATCAATATTCTACATTGATCCATTTATTGTCATTTAATCTCTTTCGTTGCTACAGTCTCAAGCGTTGCCAAAAAGCAAGCTCACAGATCCTTTCTTAATATGAACGGACATTCGGGAACGCGCATTATGTCAGGCCAGAGACCATATAATCTATTATATGGTCTCTGGTCAGGCTCATATAGCTAAATTATGTTGTCTTTATGTTAATACAGAAGACTTGAAAATCATGTTACGTCTAAACTGGTGGTATGTATAAGCCAAGTTATGTTCGTTCTTTCTATAAGGACGGTAGGTGGCCTAATGGTTAAAGCGTTGACTCGTCACGCTGAAGATCTTGGTTCGTTTCCCCACGTGGGTACAATGTGTGAAGCCCATTTCTGGTGTCCCAAGCCGTGATATTGCTGGAATACTGCTAAAAGCGTCGTAAAACCATACTCACTCGCTCGTTCTATAATATAAACACTATAAGCAGAACTCAAATTTGGAAAATAAAATTATGTTCTACGTTCTAAAGGCACGTACATGCCAATATTATAATGTCGCACTTCAATTCATAAATTGCCGTTGAGACTGGCCGATGGCACAATATACCAAGAGAAGAAAGGCCTTGTCAACTCAGTGATTCACTTTCATTTGGAGAGGAGTTTCACCATTTTCACCATCAGATGCTAATCCCTCACCCAGAATATTCCCCCAAATTACAACGTGGGGACAAAAAGAATCAAATTTTGTAGAACTGTACCACCCAAAAAGATTAAAAGGTGTAAGAAAGTGTCTGTATATGTATAGTGTCTTTGAGATTTCAATGAGCCCGGGACCGTTCGTTCACTGAGGTGTTGAGATAATAGTTCGTTCTTTCATCGAATAAACCAAGTCGTTAAAAAGCAATTTACCCGGTTGTATTTGAAAACTGAATACAATATACGCCGTCTATGTATCTGGAAACCCGAAACTGTTTATTTTCTTCCCCTCCTCTGAACCAGCCATGAATAATAAAACAGGAAATCACCTCATGTTGACATTCCCAACAACAAGAGATCAGCGACGGTGGGTTCCGGTCGAGTGAACCAAGTCACATCAGCTGACCACATGGGCCAGCTTGGAGTGTATTCCCATAGATAACTGCCATTGGCATTCTTTCCTCGATATACATGCATCACGACACCCTGTCACAAAGCGTTTCTCCATACCTGTGTTCGACAAGGGTACTATATGGAACCGCATCTGTTTCGCCTATATCGCCCTCTCTAACATTCACCATCTGACACATGTACCTCGACTTGTTTCACCTCACCTAACACCGCTTTGTTGTTACCTTTTTCGCATATTCGCCACGTGTGTTTAATGGCATAAGGCAACAAAAGCTTTCTAACCGAGTAGAAGATATTTGACGAGACCATTGAGATGTACATTTTGAGACTATGACAGTCATGGGACATGAAGACCACAAGCAGATATTTGTTCTCGAGTACAAACGATATTCAAGTGCACTGCTCCTACGAGGGGCAGAAAATTGCAATTACGTTTTAGGATTTTTTTCCACGTGAACTCCGTGGTTACGTGCTGTCAGTGAGATTAAAATGTGTTTATTTCTTTAAAAACATATTTGCGTTGTAAAGGTTTCGAATAAATTATATTGATATGACAGGCTATGTAATTAATAATCATATTGGGGTTTTGTTATGGAAACATCAAGTTTAACGAAACAAAAATGTACAATAACAACGATTCTTTATTACGAATTAAAGAAAAATATTGCATTATAGTGTCACACGTTGTAAATCGAGTAACAGAAAAAATATATTCTGTAAGATTTACAGTATCCGCCCAAATGGCCCATGAGGCAGTCAAAACATCACATTCATAAAAAAATTCACATTCATCAAGACGCTTTCCCCAACGCCCCTCCATTCCCCCCCTCCCTCCCCATGAAAACAACATCCCAGCAGCATACACAGGCTCAGTCGCCGTACCAACAATATCCCACCGAACCCTAACCGGATTTACGGGTCGTCGAGGCAATATACTACACAGGGAAATAACAAGCGACAATACCACATTGAGTAATTAATAACGTTCTCATTAGTTAGACGGTATATGTTAATTATGTGGAAGTGTTTGATGACTGTCTCAATCACAGATTCAACTCTGTGTTCAGTAATCAGCGTGTCTAACTTGACCTGTATGGGGTTTTACTCTTGGCTAGCGGTCCAGAACAGCTTCTTGCAATCTTAAACTACTTCAAAGAAAAGTAGAATAATGTAACTTTGTGTACTTGAATGAATCAATTTAAGCATGAAACGATTCATTAAGTATATCAATCAGTATCACATGTTTTAGTATATCACAAGTTTGATTCTTTGAAATGCAACATCTTATGATATACATGTACACCGTTGAAACATGATAACCGTTATTAAACAATAGTAACATCGACATACAAGTAGCACCTGTAGTTGAATCATTTATATTAAATAGTAACAATCACTTTGTTGAAAGTGAAAACTGAAAAGTATAGCAACATAACCGTGTTTTGATAATTACTGTAATTCTCTTGGAATCTTCAGATTCTTGGAACATGGAGTAAGATGTGGGTTGCGGTTTATCGTGTTCATCACGGCATTGATATAAAACCGAAACCTCCACAGTTCATGTCCCCATGAGTATATGTTTTACCTTGAAAGTCTACGAAACAACAACTTTGCATAATACAAAACCCTCGACAAAACTGAAAAAGTGCATTTACGACTAAAAACGTGACAAAGCGACCTTTCCCACCGAGATGTGCACGTGCAGGTCGTGGAAGTCCAACCGGTCATCGAAATGGAGGATCCGATTTTTGCTTACTTCGTGACGAGGAAGTGACAAACATCAAGTCCAAGCCTAACATGACTTGTCCAGCGGCGTGACGCATGCTTTTTGCATGGGTCACAGATATTGGACGGGTACAGATCTATGGTATATAATACTCACACAATGGTACAACATTCGCATAACATTTCCGTGCATTTTGTACAAGTTATAGTGACTACAAAGTATTAAACAAACTGTGCCATGGTTACAAACAATCGAATTATTTTCATTTTCTTACAATTTTGTCAATGTACATATACTGACCTTTATTAAGAGTCACATATTGTTAATGTACGCACGGATTCATTGCCGGGTGAATATGTTTCATTTTGTCTAAGATCAGGAACATGTTATTGGGATAAGGATCGTTCGTGTATGTTAAGACAATTTTCATTCATACAATGTTAATTAATATAAAATGGACATTTAAAATGACTACTGAAAAAGTGAGATTTCGTTTTAAAATGCCGGACATCCAATATATCGTATAATTACATGTCTCCTGATAAACTTATGATGATGATGATGATGTGTACTTCTACAGCGTTAAATTCCATACACCGAGTGCATGCTCAAAGCGCATACAAATTAAAGATCATAAGATAGTCTGAAAAGATGGGTCTTGAGCGGAGTTCTGAATGAATCAATATTAATATAGTTATGAGAGTATGTCTTAACGGAACTGTGTGGCTGCATAGTTAATTCGTAATGTAGTATTGATGGTAAATGTTATAATAATCATGTATGATATAATCATGACTATTTACTGTTTACGGGGACAGGTCTTAGTTTTAACGTAACGTCTTTCCCATGACCGAGAAGGGGCCATGGGAAAGGGGTAATCCAACCTGAGCGTTATCTACGATCCCCTTGAAGTACTTCAGCTATATCAGACTCGCAGTTAGATAGGGAGTTTTGTAATTCGGGGTTTCATGGTACGTCCTGTCCGAAATTGACCCATCGGCCATGACCAACCAAGGACTTACAGCAAGACATAACAGAAGACATATGTATTCTTACTTAACTTTAAACACAATGTACTACCGTGTACATGCATAACGTCCTTAATATTCTGAAAAAGGGACAAATTTCTGTGAGTCATGATAACAGGTTATTTTAAGTCGGTTTTCAAAGGCAGAGTTATTTTTAAATAGGAAAGGTCGTGATAACTATGCTTTCAAATGGCCTGCGTTTCACGAATTGTATTTCCTTAATACCTGTGCTCTAAATAACAAAATATACACTAAAATAGTTTTTGCAAGTACAGTTTAAGTAAAAAGGTAAACTGTATATGTTTTTGTATTACTTGAAACTTTGATTTAAAATATACTTTTCTTCTGTTTATATGGACGCCGTGTTATCAAATAATTCGGTGACATTAGGTGAGTTATTTAGTATATATCAAATGTAAACATACAAACAAACAACAGTATGACTTGTACAGTTAACCATACTGGTCTACCATAGTTTATCTCTTAAAATCGCCATGTCACACAACAGGGGTGCTCATGTCTTCAAACAAGCAAGGTGTCACTCCTGTCAAACCCGTCATCTAATACCCCTCGACATATCATGTTAAAAATATACAAAAACATGTAAACACAAAACTCCATGTACAAGATCGCTATAACTGTATTTGAGTATTGAAATCACATCTTAATTCAATCACTCGTTTCTTTTATTTCTTCTTCCAAATATTGTCTCAAGTTTAACATTGGACATAGATCACAGAATATATTCGCCGATGCGTGTCCGGTGGAGTTTATCATGGACAGTTCGAGTTTATTTGTATTGTGAACGCTCACACGCTGAGTTGAAAGCCCCCGTCAATGTCTAACAGACAACGGGTTTCTTGCGGCGAGAATGCAGTTACCGCTAGAACTCAGCTCATTTGCATAACAATTAACCGCTGTAATTTGTGTGGCTGGCTGCGCTCAGCGCGTGCGCCATGCACGCTTTCCCGGAAAGAGCGCTCATTACAAAATGCTCAGCAATGTGAATGAGCGAGCACATCAACTCCGATAGACTTCACAGCAAGGCGGGTCAGCGCCTCAAACACCAAAATGCCGAAATCTTTTCTAGTGTGTAGGTTTCAAGGCAAGAAGAGACGCCATTCAGAAACAACAACAGAGACCTCCGTGTCTACAAGCCAGCCGTCCAAACCAGTGGTCACCCCCAATGGCCATTTTGCCTCGGACAGCGAGTTCGCCATACTTCGGACAGGTCAGTGTTATGTTCTTCGTGTTAGCTTTCTCTCGCTCCGGGCTTGGTTTGACCAGCTGGTCAACAACGTTTGTCAAATCTCAACATATACTTAATTTTACACAACACTCTTAGACAAGAAGCAGACGGCTAAAATATTTCGCCATTTAGTACGTTTGTTGTTTGGGGTTATTTTGACAGGTAGGCAAACTTTTTGATAGTTTGTAATATATTGTGTGCTTCTCACTCAGTACAGAGTTCAGTCAGTTATAACTGTGTCATATTTAGCATCCAGTTTTCTTCCCGTGCGGTCCGTGTTGCTATTCTTAGTGTGAACCAAGTTCTATTGTTGTTCCCAATCGATAAAACGTTGACGGGACCCTTCAACACCTGTCGTTCGTATTTCAAATTTCCCTCACTTTTCTATCCAAATTTAACACTGATAATTTAGTTGTGTAGAAATGTTGGATCTTTTAGATTGTCAGTCATTGCTATGACCGCGCGTCTTGTAAGAACACCATGAGTATTTTGTTTACCTTTCAATGATACACATGACGAACCTCCTAACCCGTCTTGGCGTGTCACTCTTCTCACTGATATCCGGACAGGATAAACCTCGAATTTGGTGATTGTTTTAACCCCTTATTCTATTCAGTTGTTAATCTACATGTACATTCAATTCTAGGTAATCAGTCCTTGAAACAACAATTCACGATACGGCCAATAAATTACCAGTCAACTAAAAGCATTACCATTCATCACCCCTTGAGCGACGTGTGTATATTGCTGTTGTGTGCATACGCGCAGATCTTATGTCAGCTGTCAAACCGTGTGTAGTGTCAAAGTACATCGCGACATGGCCATTGATCATGTCAGTATTTATTTACTGAAGCATTAATCATATTTCTTTGAATAGATGTAGGTGAAATTACTTAGGTTTAAGTTATTGCTCGGTATAAGTGGTATATAGGAATGTTTTCAGTTGTTAGGTTTTCGATACAAGGCCAGGAGGTGTTTTGCATACGATTTTCTTAAAGGGTATCATTGGATGTCTTAATATTTCTTGGTTTGATAGGAATGTTTGGAATATCAGGTGCTGTCATTGATAAAGGGGTTTGTTCTCAGTAACATGGCAATAGTTGTGTATGACTTTATATTACATAATATTACTACATGAGTACACGTAGTATTTGTGGTGACTCACATTCCCAACCGAATGCGAATCAAAGTCAATATTCGTTTTATCCAGCGAACGATTCATCTTCCAGCGGTGTCAATAATTGCTGTGACAAGCCTAGGCCTCGCCACAAATACTACCACGCGCAGCTGTCTCGTGCTTTCAAACCTCGCGCGTCCGACGTCCAACAATACCCGTTGCCTTGGTAACCGAGAAAGGCAAATCCAGAGTAGCAGTTGCCGTTAGTCAAGGGGTTTGAATGGGGCTTTTGATGACGTCACATTTACGACCCCCCGTAAAGATTGACCGTCAGTGTCGGGCTTCGTCTGATGAACTACCGTGATTACGTAACACCCAGGCGATTCAAATCGACCTCAGCGTTGAGCCCTTCATTGTATACGACCGACCTTGCCATGTAATCAGTGCAGGAATCACACGATTTCTAGGTGTGAGAAAGTGTTTAGACAGTCAAATTCAGAAGTCGAGTCCTTTGTCTCCGGGCTAGTAAAACAAGCTTTAAGTCAATTATTGTCAAAACAAGGGGAAATGCCCGTCGGCATTTTTAACACTTAAACGGTCAGAGTGCTTATTTCTTGAAAACGCCGAAAAGCTAACAATTAGTTTTGAATGCTAAGTCAAATGGAATGAAAACGCAGGTTAATTAACCTTTTTCACATCAGTTGAATGTTTATCGTACCATCAATCACAGCCCCACTCAGCGATTCGACATACAAATCGGCTGTATGTAAATTACTTAGTTGGGTCAGAGACCATATAATAGATCTATTATATGGTCTCTGGTTGGGTGGGTATCTGTGGAAGTGTACATGAAGCTGAAAAAAACCAATTCTCTGTAACCTATGTAAACCTAAAGGTAACCTATATAAACAAGCTTGATAACCATCCTGGATAATCCACCAAGACGTATTCCAAAGTATCAGTACCCCGTTAAAATTTATGCCCCCCATATAACGCTCCCCGATGTAGCCTCATTAGCGACTGACCCATCTTTGTCCATCAGTCCCCACCCCACGGGGGCCGTCCGCTCCCCCTTACGCCATATTGTTAGCTGTCCAAATTTCACTGACCTCTGATCGCGGTCACGATAACGACCGGTCATCCCGTAATCCGACCCCCCTTGTGCTCCGCGTTAACTCACCCCCACCGGGGTGCTACCCTATCTGTCCCTGGGGCGGCCAGGAACAACTGGAAACATCGTTAATTTTGAATTTGGGCGTTTAGTTTTATTGTCAAGGCATGTTGCGATGCGCTACATTTGAGCAGTACACGTTGATGACGTTATGGTTGCATCTGGGGTGGATTCCAGAAAATATTGCTGAAATTTTATGTTAATCTTCTTTAAATTCAATGATCATGTTAGAAATGAAATATGTAGTCTGTCAATACAGATCCTAAAACAAATATATCCAAGAAAGACCACGCAAGTCTAGAAAATGTGGCAAGTCTTAGATTTCCACAGCTTGAAGAAAATCTCAGGGCTCTTTTTCAATATATTTTATTGTTTTTTACTACGAACTTTTTTTCTGTAAAATATGTTCATTTCAGACACTAGTTGTTAGTCTATGCAATAGGATAACACTTGTTTTGTAGCATTAACGTGACTACATTTCTTTCATTTAAATTGTAGCATAAGTCAAAAGTCACTGTAAATAAGCAGAATTTATTATCAGTATATTACATAATAAAGGTATGGCGTGACGTAACTAGGTAATATGAAACAATCGGGTGTTCCTTAACTTCTTTTAAGCAGTATATATGTTCACTCGTTGCCATGGCCATCGCCACGAAGTCCTTGCTATTTTAAACACAAATACTGTAAATTTTAGTTTAGAAACGCGTTAATTAAAAACGGGTTATTTTTGTAGTGATAACCGTTGAAACTGTTAAGTTGAAAATTATTCCTGAAAATAGCCATGGTAATATCACGGCGAGTTGTACACGTTTCTGTGATCTATCGGTATGTTTTCTAATGAAAACGAACCCAGGCTACATTCCCTCATTATGCTGCCATTAAATATTCATATAGTAATCTCCCAAATAATACACGTCCCATCACACTCCTCAACCGTCTTTTGTTATTTCTCCGCTCCGACTTCAGATCAGCTGTTCGCCAGGAATACATAATGTATCTTTGTTAAAACCTATTAGCAAATATTAAGGCAATCACCCAGTTGTAAAGATCTAAAAGCGATCTGCTTGCGGCAAAACAAACACTTCCTTGTAATAGAAAGCCGCGTGTTCGACGTGTCTCGATCATATTGCAAATGGCGTGTATTATGTCGTCTGCCTTGTCGCGTGCCAGGCACGTGGCTTGTTTTTTCGGGTCACCTGTCTATCGGAAGGCAAATGCCCCTCCTTCACTCAAACCTTCAACGTGCAAAGGAATGGGGCTGCATGGGACAAAGAGCGCTTTCATTCGCTCTTCCCGCCTCGCCTGCCATTTATCTTCTGCCGAACCGTTAAAAAGAAGGCGAGCAGATGTCGGCGAAGCTCATGGCCCGTCAGATAGCAGATGAATAGGAAAGCGCGGGAAACTTACATCAGACGACAGACCATTAAGCCGCAAGCAAACCTGACCAGCAATCACCCTGCTGCGCAGAGGTGAGATCGGTTTGCCAGTCACGTGACTTATTGTTTATGGGTCACGTGGTACATGCAACAGATGTTTCTTGGCCATATTGACAAAAACACCGCGAATGTTAAAGAATTTGTGGCCCGTGCCATCCCATTGCGTCCAGTGGGCACGAGGTCACTATTTGCTATTTGATCTTTTGAAGCGGGTATGGCCCCCGGGGCATGCTGGACCTGCCTGCAACCCCTGACCTGCTATGTCTTTTGTCAAGAGCCATAGGAGATAACGACCCTTTTACACCTTGTAACAATAGGAAAAAATAAACCCCAAGAATCCGTTCAAATCCTAACAGGATATGAGAACAATGGGATCAATCACTTTCCATTGCTAACTCGTTCTGAGAAATAACTCTGCTCTAGTTTATTTAAAGTAGGAGACTGGAATGCCTTACAGTACGGTTGATAGCATTAGTGATAAACAGTCTGTCTGTAATATTTGTTACTTTGTGTTTACAGATACCGAAGTCACTGAAGCCAAACGAGCCCGTTTGTCAGAAGACTTATCCGTCGACTTGACCGTCACACCCAGTGAACGCATTAACGATGACATCACAAGTCACGACATCATCCACCTCGACAACAGCAAGGGATCGCCATTCTCATACAACAGCGACTCCAGCGGCTATTCTTCAGGATATGCATCCAAAGACATTTCTGATGTATCATCTTCCTTCACCCACCCCGGTACGTTTGACCGTTCAGCGGCAAACACCCCGACACCCGACTCGTCGGTTGTCTGTACAGTGTCTGAAGTATCGTCCACTAGGATGGGCTCCACAGAAACCTCACCCACACCGGTCCCTTCTCCTGTCTTGTCACGGGTGGAAGACATACGCCCTGTCTTTACCACCCCGGACGTGAAGACCGAGATGTCCGCTACACACGTAAGGATGACAGTCCCGACCAGACCCCCGAGTCTGCCTTCAGTCATTCTTAGTTCGACTCCAAAATCTTCCGCAGAGAACATTCCAATCGCTTGCAGGCGAGTATTTCCAGTTCTGCACATGCCATGGATGAGTAGCCCGATACCTGGACGTCTGCCACCCAGATCCCGATATGCAACCCTCACCCCACCCCCAACACCGTCTCACGGCCCTTGTTCAGAGACGGGCTGGCAATCATCAAGCAGCCCACCCAGCCCTCGGTCGGAAATGTTTAAAGCACACAGTGACGTCACTAAATCTTCAGTTTCAACTGTGACATCAGCTGGATATGTGTCTTCGCGTTATGCAGAGAACTCAAAGGAAAATATTGTCCCCAAAATGCACGAAAAGCCGTTGAGCCATGACCTCCCAAGGACTCCATTTGCCAGGCAGCCCTTGCAGAACTTTACCAATAACAAGTTTTACGCTCAGTCCTTGTCTCCATTCCCAGTGCAAGGGGGCCGTATACCAGTGCTGCCCCATGGTACAAAGGGTCTTCCCCTCACCATGGCTCATCTCCCCAACCCTGTGTCCTCCCTACCTCCATATGCTGTAAGGAATATGTGTCGCGAGGATAAGACCAATGTATCCATGTACCAAAGTTCAGTTCAACCATGTTCCACCATCACTTCCTCCGATCACCCCCGCACAACGTGTCCACCTAGTCTAGAAAACACCATCCCACCGGTGAAGTATCAGCCAAGGCCCCACCCTACCCAGCCTCTGCGGCCGTGGGAGGATACCGATACGAAAGACACTTACGCTAAACGACCTGTCACCCCACATCTTATTGCTCAACCTATGCCTTTACTGACCAAACATGATCCAAACGGAAGTGTATCACCTCAACCTTTGAACTTTTCCATGGATCACCGCAATAATGTCAGCATGGTGAACCCGTACAGATCAGCGACCTCTGAGATGAACAGTCTTCCCAGAGATATGAAATCCACCTCCCCCATGTCAGCACTGTCTGTTGTCACCGATATACCGCCCAATGTCAAGAGTGAGGACGCTGAGAACCGCCTGACCCCCAACACACCCGGCTCCTCACCAAACACAAGTAAAGAAGCCAAGTGGTCCCTAGTCTCCCTGCACGACCTTGAGATGGCGTCACGTGACGAACACCGAGACGTCAAGATGGCACCGACGTTGCTGCTTCTCCTCAAGGTTGGTTTCTGAAACTTCAGATATTTAAACGGTTATCATTTGAAGCTAAGTAATGGGTAAAACATGGGGTTTGTTGGGCATTTGGAAGTTCCTGCAACTCAAATCATAATGGTCGCGTGGTTATTCATTTTACATCTTGTCTTTTCAGCAAGCAGGACGTACTGATGTAGAAGTGATTAATGGTGGCTATGGTATCAAGAACCCCTCTTTCACAGAAGCCGACCTCGAGGACACTGTCATTAAACAGAAAGGTAAACAGCAGTTATCTCCCTTACGTGGCCTTCCATCATCATTTCACGAAGAAAGAGAATTGAGAAGTGTATTTTTTCTGCTAATGTTAACTTGTATTTATTTAATCCAATTTTGAGTTTTAGTCATATATTCTATGTCAGTGTAATATAATTTTAATTAAAATTTTCAGCTGTTATGACCGACAGCGGGAGGTACATGTGCAAAGTCTGCCAGAAGGAGTTTGCACTCCAGCGATTGCTCAACCGCCATGTGAAGAACCATAGCGAGGTCAAACGGTACCTTTGTACGTTCTGTGGCAAGGGTTTCAACGACACCTTCGACCTGAAGCGACACACAAGAATACATACAGGTAAACACTTATAACAACACAGTAATTAGTGAGTGAGTGGGTATGATATTACGCCGCTTTTAGCGATATTCCAGCAATATCACGGCGGGGGAGACCAGAAATGGGCTTCACACATTGTACCCATATGGGGACTCGAATCCGGGCGGACGAGCGGACACTTGCCCACTACGCTACCCTACCGCCCCAGAGTAATTAGCGCCAGAGTTGTTAACAGAATCTATTCTAAATGAAGTTGTGCGTTTTCTGTTTAAAAAGTCAAATTTTTCTTGAAATTAATTACTGGATAGGACAATAACTACGAACGAATTTGTTCTCCCCGTGACTGGAATGTTATGTTGTTGATGATGTAAACACCTTCAGTGTATTTCAAAACAAAGCAGGAAGAATGGGCGAACGCACGTACAGCAGAAAGGATTAATAACCACACGATTCCTTCATATTTCTATGAGACCGTGAATTGAATTATTTCCTTAATTTGCAGGTGTAAAGCCTTACAAATGTGAAAAGTGTGGCAAAGCCTTCACCCAGCGTTGTAGCCTCGAGTCCCACGCCAAGAAGGTGCACGGGTCGGAGCTGGCCTTCGCTTACAAAGAACGTCGATGCAAGATGTACGTCTGTGAAGACTGCGGCCATACCACGGGTGACCCCGAGCTCCACTACGTTCATCTGAAGGAAAACCACCCCAACTGTCCTGCCCTCGAAAAGTGCCACGACAAACGTCAGTTTAAATTCACTGATGGCAAAATCCCCAGTGCACCGGTTCTCTCGCCGAGGAACTAATTTCTTGCAGAAGAATACTCCAGTTTCTAGTAGTGCTCAGACTGCTTCCGGTAGTCACCATTTGTTTTTGTTACCGTTATGTGTGACTGTTACCGTTCGTTCTCCTCCGTCTCGTCGCTCGACTGTTATCGGATGTAAATATTTGAAAGCATCTTTTCTTTATAGTCGGACTGCGTTTATGGTCTCGACCAATTTGTCATAATTGTACAATTCAACTACCATATTTGGTGAGAAGTGTATATTTGGAACAGGAAGTCAGCCGCCCGCCATGTTTTTGCATGCTGGGTTACCTTTACAGCTTATACAGTATTGAACAGTACTGAGATTCTTCACCCTTTACCTCGTCTTAGGAAACTTATAGTTTGTAAAATTGCTTTTTGACAAATCCCAAACTAGTCATTAGTGCATTGTCAACTTGTCACTGTTGCATTTTACAAGCTATCACACGCTGCTTGATGTTGTTCGCATTTTGCCAAAGTTTGCAAAGAAGTCGTTTATTTTGTGCAATATTTTGTTCTCGATTAGCCTCATTCCCTGTGTCTACGTCTGCCCTATCCTAGCTAGTCCTAGATCTTTGTATGATATGTTCGTTATTTATTGATTAATGTCGGTGCTACATCACTCATTACAACCCAAGTTGTGCAATATTCCATGAAAAAAGCTACGTTCCATGCATTCAATTTGCATTCACCACAAATAAACAAATCACAATTGACTACTTGTTCTTCTCTTTTTTTATTTCATATTGAACTTTTGTGCTATGATTATATAATATCGACGTATGAGAATAATCAGTATAGATTATCTGTAAAAAAATATACACTTGTTCAGGGGTCATCACTTTTGTGAACATGTACTAGGTTGGGTCAGCAATTTTGAACATATTATTCAAAGTTGATGCTTTAAAATAGGGGCTGTGTTTGATGTACTTGACATGCAGGTGGGGGTGGGGTCACTTTGTGCATAAATTTATTTAGGGGGGTCATCCACGTTGTACATGATACTCCATAAAATTTACCATCACTAGCGGGCCCCAGCCATAAGTTATGAACGGTCCCTAAATATGATGTATCATGGTGGTCGCGTGTATAAAATATGCTCAGTTGTCAGAGACTAATAGCATATGTGTAAATACGAATGTTTATTGCCAATATGGTTGTGGGGTTGCTTGGTGGTTAAAGCGTTCGCTAGTCACGCTTAAGACCCGTCTTCGATTCCCCACATGGCCACAATGTATGAAACCCATTTAAGTAATGAATGTCCGAAGACCTGCAGCACAGAGGGCCCTATATGTATTAATCTCAGTGAGTTTAGTTTTACGCCGCACTCGGCATTATTGCAGCTATATGTCGGGAGTCTGTATATACTAGTAATCGAGTCTGGACCAGACAACCCAGTGATCAACAGCATGAGCACCATTCTACGCAATTGGGATACGATGACGTGTCAATCAAATCGGTGAGCCTGACCACCCGATCCCGTTAGTCGCCTCTTAAGACAAGCATGGGTAGCTGAAGATCAATTCTAACCCGGATCTTCACGGGTGGTATTAATCTGATGCTGAAATAATTTTCAAAGCTCCGGTAAACAATTTATCTTCACAACGTCAACGTAGTTCATTTATGGACATCTATATCACACGACACGTGGTACTAGCAAGCCCATCACGTATATTTCATAAGTCATAAAGGCTTCATACAAGAAACGATTAGAAAAACGTTCAGCGAACTTGCACCCGCGAAGGTCCGGGTTAGAATGAGCCTTCAGTAACCCATGCTTGTCGGCAGAGGCGACTAACGGGATCGAGTGGTCAGGCTCGCTGACTTGGTTGACACGTCATCGGTTACCAATTGTGCAGATCGATGCTCATGCTGTTGGTCACTGGATTGTCTGGTCCAGACTCGATTATTTACAGACCGCCATATAGTTGGAAGATTGCTGAGTGCGGCGTAAAACTAAACTCACTCACTCAGCGAACTTGCAATACGCCAGGGTCCCGAACCACAAAGCGTTCGTAACGTCATGACCTATCGTAACTCTATAGTTTATCTTAGGCTTACGGATGTCGTAGCGCTACGAACGTTTCGTGGATCGGCCCCGTTTCACAAAGCTATCTTAGCGCTACGACTGTCCTAAGTTTGTGTAACAGTATGGGAGTTACGACAGTCGTAGCGCTACGATAGTTTTTGTGAAACGGGGCCCAAGAAGCTTAATTGAGCTCAGGAACAAAACTAAATCGGGAAGAGCACAGACAGGTTTCATATTTTGGCAAGTGTAAACATCATCAGTCATAAAGGAACCATTGCCAGGTTTGTGGTATTGTTATTATGAAGATAATTTGATGAAATTTTCGGGGATTTAAAGTTAGCACCTGTCTCCCTGTCATCGTGAAATGTTACGATGTTGAATACCCTGTTTGACGCCCCTATTCAACGACACGCGTATACAGGTTGTCTGTATGTAGATGAGGCTCATGACCCGGGGTCTGTTACAAACACCTGTTGGAACAAACCACCTGTCCAGCCCTCGAGGTGAATATTGGGCGTTCGTGTTGGACGGGGCTATCAATTTTGTTCCGGTTTGAAAAAGCCTCCTTTGATTTTAGTCTTGAAAGGGCGTGTTGCGCTGTTTGTAGACCATGGTCCTTGAACAGTCATCTCTCCAAATTTTGTGTTATAACATATCCGGGGCGCATTAAGGAACTGTTTAGTAACGCTGCCTCACGTGTAATTGGGGGCTTGCACAAAGAACGTTTGTGAAATAGATTTTGATTTATGACTACTATGTACGAACTTTCAGTGATATATCGTCAAAATAACGCGGTACGGGGTCGAACCCGCAACCTTCCGCTCTCCGGGGATTGATATACGGAGATATGATCACACTGTTATAGGGATTGATATACACAGATATGATCACACTGATATAGGGATTGATATACACAGATATGATCACACTGATATAGGGATTGATATACACAGATATGATCACACTGATAGAGATTGATATACGGAGATATGATCACACTTATATAGGGATCGATATACGGAGATATGTTCACACTGATGTAGGGATTGATATACGGAGATATGATCACACTGATATAGGGATTGATATACGGAGATATGATCACACTGTTACTGAGATTGATATATGGAGATATGATCACACTGTTATCGGGATTGATATACAAAGATATGATCACACTGATGTAGAGCTCTGGGACCAGGATTGATATACGGAGATATGATCACACTGTTATCGGGATTGATATATGGAGATATGATCACACTGTTACAGGGATTGATATACACAGATATGGCCACAATGATATAGAACTGTAGGATGAGGAGTGATATACACAGATATGATCACACTGATATAGGGATTGATATACGGATATATGATCACACTGATGTAGAGATTGATATACGGAGATATGATCACACTGTTATCGGGATTGATATACACAGATATGATCACTGATATAAGTGATTGATATACACATATATGACCACTGATGTATTGATATACACAGATATCATCACACTGATTATCATAGATTGATATACTGATATAAGGATTGATATGATCACACTGATATAGGGATTGATATCATCACACTGATATAGTGACACAGATATGATCACACTGATGATATATACACAGATATGATCACACTGATGTAGTGATTGATATACACATATATGATCACACTGATATAGGGATTGATATACACAGATATGACCACACTGATATAGGGATTGATACACGGATATATGATCACACTGATACAGAGCCCTAGGATGAGTAGTGATATACAGTGATACAATGACGTACCGCTGCCTGCCATACAGTATTACAATCGGTAGAGGTTTAGTTCTAATCCTGAACTAAATAGTTATAAGCAGTCTTCAAAGTGTAGAATACATAACAACGGACAGAGAAACCATGGCTTCTGTTTACACCTACGTACAGAACACAACAGACACGATATGTACAATATTTAACAATGCCATTAATCAGAGCAGAAAGACAGATGTAGCTTAATTGACAGGAGTTGCTAGCGCATCTGAATACAACAGTGTTGATACGTGGTTAAATACACCTTCAGGCCTTAACTGAAATAATATTAATGTCCTGTTTAGGTTGAGTCAAAAGTGTAGTAGAGTAAAGTGATGATATATATGGTGATATATATAAGTGACAATATATATAAACACTGAAGAACTGGCCATTGATGTCAAGTTTTTTTCTCGAATGACGCAAACAAGAACTGAACTGTGAACTTTAAAAAACACATGTAATAAACATATTATTTGACAATAAAAGTCTAATAAACATATTATTTGACAATAAAAGTCTAATATTCTTCTTGCTATGTCTTTTCTCATCGTCTTATCTCAAACCCATATTATCATAGAACAATTTTGAAAGTAGTTTCGGCAAAATATTAGAATGTGCACTGGAATGCAGTCTTAATATGTTCATACAAAGATACTTTTTCATCGCCAATTATATATGTTTTGACATTAGTTTTACAGAAGAGTAAGAAATATGCTGCTCACGGGCACGGAGAGTTTTAATGACATTTTATGATTATATTATGAAGAGATCATCTAAAATACATATATTTGGTGCTATTGTCCATTTCAGCAGTTGTCATCTGTTGCATCTGCCCATCAAACCACGGATGGTCCTCATTTGCTGAAACCATACATTTTTTGGTTTTGCACATGATAATTAAGCAGTTTCATTTTCACTGAAGACGTGTTCCAACTATAAAAGTGTGATGCATGTACGAAACGCTCGTAAAACATTACCCAAGCGAATTTAATGTTCTGTGAACCGGCATGTTTCCATACAGCAACAGCTGTTTCCCACACCCGACTGGTTTGTGTCAACTTTAATTAAATCTTATACAATATGATTATGAAAACCATAGCTCCGTTTCTATTAGCTACGCAATTCATTTCTACAGAGTCCGGATCCACTGATTGTTGCGCTAGATCGGAATATTTTAAACTGCAGGGATTAACTGTTTTTATGTTAAAACACGAAGCCAGTGTTGGAAAATCGCGGGAAATATTTGAAAGTAAAGGTTGTGTATAGTATCGGATATAACACACCTGCCCATAACGGTTTTAGCCTTCCGGCAGGTGCGTTACCCTTCCGTCTCCCCGTTTACCTGTAATCAGTGGGGAAGGGTTGAGAGGTCACGCACTCTCAACAGGTAGCAAAGATGTGACGGTATTGTCCAAAAGTAGGACAAGTGGAGGATAAAACGAAGCCGGCACGCGAAGTGGGGATCCGGGATAGGGGACAAGTTGATCGCGGCACGCGACTGGAGCGTGCGATGGTAACAGATTGTACGAAGGGGGACAGCGGTTGTTGAGTTATGAGATAACAACCCCTCAAAATTTAAATTTCAGTGTTTGTTGATTTCCACAAAAATTAATTTAGAGCGTGTTCTTTATTATCTGCAAAATGTTACTGATATTATCTAAGAGATGGACCAAGAACGTAGAACAAACCAAATTAAACAGAGAGAGAGAGTTATATGTAACGCCACAATGAACAGTACATCTGTCCTACCACAGCGTCACGCCAATAAAGGATAAACAAAAAGGATAATCAAAGCAGTTTTGGGCACGTTTCCAACTGTACGACACCAGTATGTTTTGTACTAGTAGAACAAAGTTTTAAAACTATTTT